GGGGGGGGGTGGGGCGTGGTTCGCGGCAGGTTTGAAGTTGCAGTGATGAAGATGTTGACGTTTCACGCAGCAGGACACATACCTGGCGCAAGAGCTGCTGGGTTACATGAGTGGAGCTTGGGTGACTACTGTGTGTAAGACACAGCCTTCAATAGACAGAGTACTGCTCTGCAGGCCGGTCCCGGCTTGCCTGTTTGCAACAGATGAGCAGCATCAGCCAGACCGCCGCCTGCGTGGGCAATTTGAATCCTGGTGGGGGCAAGAGGCAGAATTTTGCAAGCATGATGACTGATGCGATGTCTCTCCAGGCGTGGGTCACGATGGAGGGAACACATTTGCCTGATTGTGTCGGCAGTTGCTGTGTAACATCCGCAGTAATCACAAGGCAGTCAAGCTCACAGCTCGCGCGGCTTGGGGGCCGCCCCTGCTACAGTAGTAAGTCCAGGCAAATGAGGAAGCCCGTGGCACTCTCGGCGAGCACGCCCATGACACGCATGCTCTGTTGTGGCAGCCAGGTGTGGCAGACCAAACAAGCCAGCGCTTTGAACGCTGCTGATTTGGAAACAGAAACCCCCTAGTAAGCCCCCCCGACTCACCTCTCTGCAGCAGAGCTGGACCGGGGCCGCGCATGCCTCCTCTCCAGGTATCGATCAGGTTCCCTTGAAGGGATTTAAGGTTGTGACCTCCGCACTCCTGATCCCCACAACCACCTGCCAGGCAGCTGGCCCACCCTTGGTGGCGCCAGCGCCCAACAGGCTCCCACGTGCACCGGTTGGCGACGCAGCTGCGTTCTGTGCAGAACACATACTAGCGGGTACGTTGCCCAGGCCTGCACCGCGACAGAGCGGCACAGCTGCGTTCTGTGCAAAGCACATACTAGCGGGTGTGCCGCCGTGGCGGCGGGGCGATGCATCTGCGTTCTGTGCACAGCACATACTAGCGGGTGCGCCGCCCTGGCCTGCGCCGCGGCAGAGGGACACAGCTGCATTCTGTGCAGTGCACATACTAGCGGGTGTGCCGCCCTGGCGGCAGGGCGATGCAGCTGCGTTCTGTGCACAGCACGTACTAGCGGGTGCGCCGCGCCGGCCTGCTCCGCGGCAAAGCGCCACAGCTGCGTTCTGTGCAGAGCACATACTAGCGGGTGTGTCGCTCTGCCGGCGGGGTGATGCAGCTGCGTTCTGTGCACAGCACATACTAGCGGGTGCGCCGCAGCAGGCTGCCGCGACTGGGGCGTGAGGTGCAGTCAACGACCCAGGCGCGGCATGTTGAAGGCGTAGTCTGTAGTCTTATACGGTAGGTGTTGCCCGCTGTTGCTTGACCATCGTCGGTGCGTTGATGAGATCAACAACATGAAAGATCGAGCGAACGGTTGTAGATGTACGTGTTGGTGATTGTGTGTGAATAATAAATAATCAATAAAATGCGTGATGACCACGCCTTTTGTAGTCTTGTCGCGGAATGGGGAGGGGCAGACGTACGTTTCTGCTGGAAGGTCGCTCGGAAGGCCGCTTTGAGCGAGCTGATGGAGCAAAGATACCGGTATGGGTCTTGCCGTGGCGACTGCATGACGCATGATGATCACGTATGATACTCTGCCATGGGGTTTGACCCAGGTTTGACCGGCGCGGCGGCGCCGCGGACAGCGGCACAGCGCTTGCTGCAGTGCGCTGCGGTGTCGCGCCCGCCCCGCCCTGTCTCTGATCTATTCCGCCCAGCATCCTGTGCGAAGAAGCAAGTGCGCGCTGTTTGTGCGAGGCGCTGTGGCGGCGCTGACCCCATCCTGCTCAGCGCAGCTTTGACCCAACGTCCACGACAGCTCAACGCGTGACAACACACGGGGTCAGCACAACGCCGCGGCGTGCCAGGGCGTGTCTCCTGACAGCAAGAGTTGCAATGTTGGTGTGGAGTCATGCAGCTTCGAATCGCCTGCGGCTGAGGTACCTCATTGCCTCGTTGCCAAGCTTACACAGTACGAGAGCCCGACACTCATTAACGATGAAGGGTTTGGCAATGGCAAGCCAATACCAAGCGTCAACGGATGCCTGCCTGACCCACCCCAAGGAATCGTATCGCCAAGCCTGTGCCCGGTCACTTTTTTGCCCCCGGCCATGCCGCGACGCCCTGGCGGTTGCGGCCCCGCGACCGCATGTCCTCGAGCCACGCGGAGTACACCGCCGCGTCCCCGCGCTCCTCGCTCCACACAAACTCGCCGACGTCCCCGAGCGCCACGCTGTCGCCCTCCTTGATGCCGGCGTCGCGTAGGGACTGGCTGATGCCTGAGACATCCAGCACGCGCTGGAACCTGGGGGTGTGGACATGGGGGTGGCACAGAGTGATCCACACTGGTGAGAAGTGTGATTGAGACAGCGTGCGAGTGATCAAAGATGGTGCACACTGCATGTTTGGGGGAAGCTGTGTGTGCGCAGCCAGCATCATGCTCTGCCTGGGAGCCTCATGGTCCCATGATGCAGCCGCAGCCCCTCTCGGCAGCAAAAGGCGCGGTGCACGACATGAACCTTGACTCACCTCTTGACGGCCTCGTAGTAATCCCAGTTAGTCATCTGCGCGAAGCGCTCGATGGCGCCACCCCTCACGTAGTACAGCTGCTCGCCGCCAGGCAGGGGGAGGGGCTCCTTCTCGACAGTGAACCTGGGAGCACGCCGGGCAGAGGCGCGCAAGAGTGAGCAAGCGTGTGCAATGCATGCACGTGCGTGTATGTGTGTGAGCACGTATACACATGCACACGTTTGGCAACAGATGCGGCGCCATGTGCATGTTGGCAGGCATATGGTTTGCCACAAACGCGCAGACACACACGTGCGCGCACGCACGTACGTGCGAGCGCGCACGTGTGTGTGTGAGAGAGAGAGAGAGGGGGGAGAAGAAAAAGGAAGAGGGGAGAGGCAAAAGAAGAGGGACTGCCGTGCAAGCGTGCCCCTGGCCAGCAGTGGCCTGCACCAGGCCTATGGGGGGTCCTGGGCCGAGCCCCACCTGTCCATGCGCATGTCGCTGTCAAAGCGCCGGGGCAGCTTGGTGCGGTTGAGCGCGTCCGTGGAGGCCTCCATCTCTGCCGGGCCAAGCTCGTCCAGGACGCCACGCACCGCACGCACCAGGTCTGCGCGGGGCGTTGGAAAACACAACAGAGAGCAACATAAAGAGAGGTGTGGGAGGACGCAATGCACCATGCACACCAGGTCTGTGTGGGGCGATGCTGCATTTGACATGCTTGAATAGTTATGTGGGGAGAAATGTGCACGTGCAAAGAGAGAGGGCAGCAGCGCAGCGGCTCCGCTCCTTCTGAGAGTCCCTTTGCCCCCTGCTGCCCCCTTGCCAGGGCCGCCGCGCTCGGCCCGCCGCACCCGTGACGCCGCGGCCCGTGGCCGCGCTAATGGGCACGACGTGCGCGGGGTCCAGGCCCTCCTCCTCCACCAGGTACTCCCTCACAAACTCCCAATAGTCCCCAGAGTCCGGCACGTCGGTCTTGTTGTACGCCACGACCTGGGGGCGCGTTGGTTGGGGCGGATGGGGCGGTTGGGGGTGGTTGGACAGGTCAGGAGGGGGTTGTGGCCGGGCCTGATGGACGCCGGGATACTACATGGGGCTTGGCCAGGCGGCGTGCTGCAGTGTCCCCCGCTTTAACACTCAGGTTGAGAAGGCGTGGTCAGCGAGAGGCAAGGGGTTGTTAATGTAAGAGCGGCAGGAGCCAGCAGGCAGCAGTAGGTAAGGTGACATCCGCAAAAAGGCCTGAAGCCAGGAAGCGGCGGCAGGCTTTGTCACATCCCACAGTTTGTGCCAGGGGCCATGTCGGGCCCCAAACTGTTGGTGTTGGGGCCTGGCGAGGGAGGGTATCCCGCCACCCCCTGTCACCTGCGGCTTGTCCCTGATGTCGGGGTTGAAGAGCTCCAGCTCCAGGTTGATGGCGCGGTAGTCACCCACCTGGGTTGGTGTGCGGTTGACGGTTGATGGATCAGGGTCGATGGTCGATGAGTAATGAATCAGGGTTGATGGTTGATGATTGATGGTTTAGGGTGGGGGGTGTGGGGTGTCTCAAGGTGTTTTTGATGATCAAGTTTGGGGGCCGCCGATGTGAGGATCCACAAACGCACTCAAAGAGGTGCATGGCAACGATTAGGCTGGAGACAGAGTAGAGCTTGTCACGCCGGGCTGAAACGCAAGAATTGAGCGCACCAAGAGCGCGCTAACAAGCACCCGCGCACCGGGTCGGGGCTGGTGCCGTCCAGCACGTGCACGAGGACGCGGCAGCGCTGCACATGGCGCAGGAACTGGTGGCCCAGGCCGTGGCCCTCGTGGGCGCCCTCCAGCAGGCCGGGGACGTCTGCAGTGGCAAAGCACGAATACCGTATTAAGGGGGGGTGGGTAATGCAAGTGGTGGCCTGGCAGCAGCGGGAGGCGCGGCAGCAGAGGGAGGCGCAGCCTCGGCAGTCAGCCAACGGCGGCGCCTGACGCAGCGCGAAAGAGTGGCTGGGTCCCGTGCCGACTGTTCAGGTGGCCGAGGCAGCCGTACGCGCCAGAAAATCCCTTGCGTGTGCGAAACCCTTACCAGCGAAGACTGTGGTGCGGAAGTCCATCTCGCAGACCCCGAGGTTGGGCACCAGCGTGGTGAAGGGGTAGTTGGCGATCTTGGGGCGCGCCGCGGTCAGCACGCTCAGCAGGGTGGACTTGCCTGGGGGTTGCGGGTCAGAAATCGGGAACAAACCAAGATTCAACAGCCTCGGCATTTCAATATCTTCAAGGTATGGCGGGGAACGAAGATGTGCGGTGTTGCGGCCACAAACCCTGTGACCCTGAGAACAGCAGGCCCCGCGGGATCGGTCTGCGCCGCCCTCCAGGCAGAACGGGCCGCGCAGCCGCACGGGTGCGCGGAGCGCCGACGCAGGCCCCCAAGCGCCAAGGCGGGCGCCCTGCGGCCCGACTATCGGTCTCGCGTGCATCCGCCGCTGCCCTTACCCGCGTTGGGGATGCCCACAATGCCGACGTCAGCCACCACCTTTTGGGAGGGGGGGGTTGGTGATAACGTGATGATAATGAGGATGACGACATTGGCATTCTAATGGCAAAATCGTCGGGTGCTGGGGCGTCAAGGCGTGTGTGGTAGCGTCAAGCAGCAGCAGCAGCACCAGCACCAGCACCAGCAGCACCAGCACCAGCACCAGCAGCAACAGCAGCGGCGGCGGCGGCGGCGGCGGCGGCGGCAGCAGCAGCAGCAGCAGCAGCAGCCCTGTCTGTGCCCCGGAGGCCATCCACAAATCACCCCCCTGCCCCCCCTGTCACCGCACCTTAAGCTCCAGGTCAACATACTCCTCGCGCCCTGCCTCCCCCCTCTCGGCAAACGCCGGCGCCGTGTTCTTGCCCGTCTTGAAGCTCAGGTTGCCGCGGCCGCCCCTGCCGCCGACGAGCAGCAGCGCTTTCTGGCCGTGCGTCAGGAGCTCGGCCAGGGGCGCCTCCCCCTCTTCCGCGCCCTTCATGCGGATGATGGTGCCCAGGGGGACGCGCACCTCCAGGTCGGTTCCGTTGGCGCCGTCCTGCATCGCGCCCTTGCCTGCCGCGCGGTGGGCAGGGGCAGGCATGAAACGCTTTGGTCAACAGATTTATGGGGCGCGAGCGGCGGGATCGAGGTTTGGGCGTGGCGCCTAGGGCCGCGTGCGTTCATGCCCTGAGGCTGCCGCAGGAAGATGCCCGTCGCCGTTTTGCAGCCCCGCATGCTGCACGCCAAACGACTTGCAATGACGGTGCCGGGGCTGCTGAGATGCGGGCTACGCGCTGCGCGATGCACAGCCGCGTCGCGCCTGCCGCCAGCTTGGCAGGCATGCCCTCACACGGCCCCTACGGATGCTTTCTCCATTGCAGGACATGTGTAGGTGCTTCATTCTCCAATGCAAAGAATGCCATATGTGCAAATGCCGCCCTCGTTGCCCTTATGTATGCAGGCTTCACGCGCACCTGGAGTCCCGTTGTGCGCGCGAAAGTGCGCCTGGTTGCGGAACGGCAGGAGGCTGTTGATGGACTCGTCGGCGACCGCCCAGACGTTGCCGCCGCGCCCGCCGTTGCCGCCGTTGGGGCCGCCGTGCTCCACAAACGGCTCTCTCCGGAACGCGACGCAGCCGGCGCCGCCGTCGCCGCTCTTGATATAGATGCGGGCGGTGTCGAAGCAGCGGACCGCCTGGGGGAGGCGCTTTTCGCCAGACACCATCCCACCGCCGCCGCCGCCGCCAGCGCCCCCACTGGACCCCCAGCCGTCCAGGCCGCCGCCGAATACGTCCCCGTCTTCGTCGCCGCCAAACTCTTCGTTTAAATCGGCGTTTGCCAAGTCTTCATCTGTGATTTGGACCTCAACCGCATCACGCTGCTGTTGCTGCAGCTGCTGTACGCCGCCCCTGCTGCGGTTGCCGCCACTCCCATTGCCGCTGTCGTCCTTGCGCTTACGCTGCTTCTTTGTCAGGCTGAGGAGCTTGTCTGACCACTCGCCGGTGCTTTGCGGGGCGGAGGCGGCGCGCGCGGGGCCGCAGCGGCCGCCACCTCGAAGCGGGGCAGCAGCGGCCGCCGCGTGGGACGGGGGCGCGCCGCCACGCGGGCCCGCGCACCGGCCGGCCCTGCATTGATTCACGGACCCATAAGAGAGCGCATGCGGCGCCCTTCCGCTGGTGCTCGCCCCGGGCTGAGCACGGGACTGCATGCTGCGGGGTGTGTGGTGTGCCGAGTGCCGACTTGGCGGCTCAGAGCGAACGCCTGATTGTATGTTGAATATACTGATGTGGCTGCCTGAAATATATGTCGCCAGGAGCCATTGACTGTGCAGTCCAGCCAAGATCACAAATACGCGGCACCCCAACAAAGTGCACAACCACCCGTCAGCGCGCCCATTCAAAAAAGAGCGGAAACATGCGCTGCGCTCTTGTAGTAGCGCTGTGCGCCACGCTTGCCCTTGCCGCTGCGGCGCATGCAGCGGCCCCCGCTTCTCCTTCACCCAGACCGAGCAGTGGGAGCTCGCCCGCCACCTTGACCTGCTACACTCCCTTTCCCGCTCCGGGTGCGTACGTCATTTGGTGCCATAGCCGCGCTGACGGTGTCCCCAGCTGCCATCTGGCACCATTGCATGGACAGGCTGTCCTGCACCCAGCCCCTGCAAATCATGAACACGCGCGCCCTGCGACACGTGCCCCCATCTCCCCCTTTGCCCCAGGCGGTGGCACCATGCTCTACCCCATGGCGTTCAGCAAGAAGGAGGCCCAGGTGTGCGCGCGCTACTCCTTCGTGTGCGAGACCGGCGACACCGCGTGCACCCCTGCCGAGCAGAAGAGCCGCGCAAGGCGCTGGAGCTACGTGCCCCTCGCCAAGTCCACCTGCGACACGCTGGGGAAGGTGCCAGGTGCGCACGCACCAACCTCAACGGCGCCTTGGCAGGTTGATAATGTAGGGCAACATCAACCTGCCTTGCCGCGCATTATCAACCCGCTGTGCAACGCTGGCCACGCGGGCCGGGCTGGTGGCGGTGTTCATGGCAGGTGCGGCACGGCCTGGCTCCCCAGCGGGGCGGCGCAAACCTCCTTCTGCCGGCCCCCTGCTCTCCCCCTGATCAATGTGACGACCTCTGCCTGCAGGCATCAAGAACCTGCTGTGCTGTGCTACCGACAAGTGCAACAAGCCCGACCCCAAGTTGGACCCAGCCACCAAGGTCTCGAACGTCCTTATCGGGCGCTGATCCCACACAATGGACACCTCCGTGTTCCGCCCCAGGCGCCTCGACAGGCCCGCGACCCATGCCGTACTTCTAGCCAAGCTCTGTAGGCCATCAGTCCATTTCTGCGCACACACACACACACACACACACCGTGATACGTAATCATCACTGCTCACTGACCATCAGGCGACGCTGGCCGCAAAGCTGGCCCAGCAGTCAGACACGCATTGACCGTGTTTGATGCCTCTGATAGTCTAGCAGGGGCTTGATTGCGGCGTTGTCTGGTGCATGCACCATCCGGCACAGCTGCATCAGCAGCAGCAGCGGGGCTTTTCCCCAGGTGCTGACCAAATCTTGCGGCGATGCTGGTCACTGCACCCTGGCTGCTCAAGGGGGCCAGGCGGGGGGGCGCTGTGCCGGCCTGCCGCACCCCCCTGGGTTCTCCCATGCGGTGATGGGTGGGTGGCGCTGTGTCCGTGAGTTGGGCAAACGCAACCCCCACATGGGTACCCCTGGCTTGAGGGGTGGGGCAGTCTGGTATGTCCTGCAACCACCTATTTATACAGTGGCATGTTGACAGGTTATAGCTCCCAGCGCGTCACCCAATCCACAAGTATCCTTTCAGTCTATTCGACAAGATTACACACCCACATACCTGTTGAACACGATCCGCTTGTAAACTTTGTGTGCATTCAATGCCGTCGGGGTCACAAATGTGGCGCAAGGAGCAGCAACTGAATACGCTCAGCAGCCAATCAGCCATGCGGGCGCCCATAGCAACCGCTAGCAAGGGACAGCCGTATAAGTGCGCATACACACCCAACGCGTAGCTGCCAAGCGGAGGTTGCGCGCCTCTCAGGGCCGAGTCGCCGCTCTCGGCCGGTCCCGCCCTTGAACAGGGGCCGCGGCGTCAGTGGAGGCCATCCACCCCCAGATCGCCCCAGCCCTCCCGGCCCGGCCGGCTGCCGCGGCCGTTGCCCGGCGCGTCGCTGCCCCCTCCGCCCCGCAGCAGCAGGTCGTCTGAGTCATCGGGCGGGGGCGCCACGCCGGGAGGCAGCGGTACGTCTGCGCACCGGGGGCGGCGATGCGGCGGGGGGGCCGGGGCGTGGACGCGCGCGCAGTGGTGAGAGACAACAGAGCCTTGTTGAGGCACGGGGCTGGGTGAAAGCGTGGCAAAAGGATCGCTGCGACTGAGGTAACAGGGCGTGGTCGGCGGGGCACATTGACACCCCAGCGCACGACGCCCATCACTGCAACACAGCAAGAGCATTCCCAGACGACATTCAAACGGGTGGATGCCCACCGTCGTCAGGCAGCGTGTCCCGCATCCACTCCTCGTCCACGACGTCGATCAGGAAGGGGTCCATCAGCTGGGACGACGCCACAGTGCGGCTCATGGCGGCGTGCTGTGGGCGGGAGACGCGCGCCTTGCGGCCTGAGGCGGCGCAGCTGTCCGCGATGCACGCGCGCAGCGATGCACAGTGTCAGCAACGCGCTGCGCTATCTGGCAGACTGGATCAGATCCTTTCACTGCGCATGGTGTTCCCCTACAAGGCTGTCGATGTACAGCCGTGGCACCAGTGCTGATATTGTACTGGGGAACTGTGGGCCAGCGGGCCAGTGAACACACAAGCGAGCACTGCCGGCTTCTAGCAACTGACAAGCGTTCTTGTATATATCGATTCAACAGCTAGAAATGATCTGATAATTTGCTAGGTCGCTCCGACACTGCACTGAGCAGTATCACACGCAACCAGGCGTGCGTCATAGTTATCTTGAGAGGACAGAAGACTTAACACTTGAAGTAGAGTGGTGGCAGATGGGCAGAAGCAGCGGCGGCAAGAAGCGGAAGGGGTCGGTGCTCAGCCCACTGGCACTATCGCGAGCAGCGGCCACTCACAGCAATGGCGGCAGCGCAACTCGCAGCGGCGGCGGCGGCCACAGACACTCCAGAGCGTACGACGGCGGAAGCGGCACAGGCAAGCACGCAGCCAAGCTGGGACCAGGCAAAAAGAGCAGCGGCAAGGCAACGCGCGGCAGCGAAAAGGCCCGTCCCGGCCCGGCGTTCGACCTGGCCGAGTGGCTGGATGACTTTGAAGCGGTCAGCGCCGCCGTCAGCCGCCACGGCGACCTCGAGGCCCTGCTCAACGCCGGCGGCGGCATCACAAAAATCCGCGGCTTTCTCCCGCCCGCCGCCGCCGCCGGCCTGCTGGCCCTGCTGCGCCGCGTGCCGCCGCCCGCCTGGCGCGCAACCGAGGCCGCGCGCGACTACGCCGCCAACAACATATCCCACGCGTTCGACTCGACAAAGCGCGGCGGCGGGGACGGCGAGGTCGACGAGCAGCTGGCGAAAGCGTTCCGCGTTATGAGCCTGCTGCGGCCGGGGGAGCTCTTCACGTTCAGCGCCGCGCGCTACGCGCGGGGACACCACATCGAGCCGCACGACGACCGCGCTTACACCAACGTGCGGCGCGCGGCGCGCAGCACGGCATGGGGGCGAGCGCGGCGCGGCGTGGGCGCGGCGCAGCGGTGCATATCCTGGAGATCGGACCGATTTCATTCGCGGGCGGCGCGGCATAGGCTTCCCATGATGTTTTGTGAGTCCTGCCTGCCGCACCAGTGCGGCAGGCAACCCAGCCTCCGACCTCGTTTCTTCAGCTGCCCCCCCTGAGGCCTGCCTGTGCTCCATCGTCACCCGCAGGTGCTGATGGAAGACGGGGAGGTGGTGGAGTGCTCGAGGCGGGTTGCAGCGATACTGTACCTAACGCCTGGTGGGCTGCGGATCCAGGCTCTTGTTTTTACAACACAGGAGGGGTGGCCAGACATTTGCTGGGCCAAATGCTAGGCAGAGGCTTGCGTGCTGCAGTTGGCGTGGGATGGCCGCAGGGAGCAGCCACACAGGGGCGTTCTGCTGCACACGCGCCCAGCCGTCCGGGGCTGCCTGCGTGCCCCACCCTTGTTTGGCGGTGGCGATGACGGTCGGCGCGCTGCATCGCCGCACAGATTGGAAGGAGGAGTGGGGCGGCCACCTGGTGGATATGGAGTCTGGGCAGGTGCGGGTATCAGTGAAACTGAAGGCACAGGCGGGGCGTGCGGCTTCAGCAGGGTGCAAATGAAGCAAATGGCAAGCAACCTTCTCTGCTGCAACTTGCTGCCTCACCAGGGTCGAGATTATCATCAGCCCATGGGGCCTTGCGATTGGCTCACACCCTGCTGTCCGCCCTTCAGGTGCACGTGCCCGAGTTCAACAGCCTGATCGCCTTCCGCATCCCAAGGTGGCATGCAGTGACGCCCGTCACCACGGCCCACCCGCGCTTCTCGGTGCGGGGCCGCCCGCTTGACCAGGGACAGCGCGACAGCCTTCTGCCTTGCAGGCGGCCTGGGTGCTCAGCCCAGCGTTCTTTGGCTTGGTACAGGTGACGTCTACTGGTTTTGGCCCGCAGACACAAGTTTACACTTAGCCAGGCCGTGCGCAGTCAGCCTTGCCTCACAATCCGCGACCCACAAGCTGTGAACCTGCCCCTGCGCGCTCTCCAACCCTTCAGCTCTTTGGGTGGTTCTTGGAGCCAGGGCGCCTGTATGACCTGCAGCTGCGCGGCGCACCCAGCGGCGGCGGAGGCAGCGGCGAAGGTGGCGACGAGGTCGGCAGCAGCAGCAGGGAAGAGGGAATACTGGAAGCTGGCGGCAGCGATGGGGACGCAGCGGGCGGCGAGCAGCGGGTGCGCAATGGAGGCCAGCAGCTTGGGAGCAGCAGACCAGCGGCAGCGCAGGAGCAGCGGCGCCAAACTCCCAAGAACGAGCAGAAAGGGCTCAAGCTGGCGGCGGCGCGCAAGGTGGCGAAGCGGCAAGCCAAGACGAGCAAGGGGTCAAAGTTCAAAGCAAGGAGCAAGAAGCACCACAGCAGTAAACAATGAGATGTTGCAAGACAGAGACAACGTCAAGAGTTGGCGCCGTCCCGGGGGGCTGCTGTGCTTGCGAAAATCGTTGCAGTGTGGACGCTTGTCGCTCTGCCGCCTTGTGCAAGGGCTGATGTTGACTGGTCACGCGCGAGCTCTTCAAGGTGCAAAGTTCATCACATATCATGCATGCAAGGATACGCGCAATTCTCAAAACAAGCAAGTTTACGGCTGTCGAGCCACGGGCAGTTTCCGCCAGCACACCAGAAAGGCAGAAGGGGGCGTTCACTGGGCTACCAGACTCTGCAGCTACTCGGTTGATCGGCTTTGGAGGTTTGGGTCGTGTCACCTACGAAGGATGTGCTATGGTGTGTTCCTAGCAGCACACGATTCGGCGAGCGCAGGCTGCATGCTGAGCATGCCGTGCTCTGCTTTGCAGTCGGGGGGCACAAAATCTGAGCAGGCCGACATAGCAGAAGCCGTGCCTCGAGGGCGTCTTGACTATGAGAAATCGATCCTTGTAATTTTACGAGTTGATTTTGTCAGAACCTACCGCTTTCGAAGATCTCGCTGCTTGCAGCTGCCTTGCCGCTCGCTCATTGGCGCCCTCTGTTCGCTTGTGGGATCATCAAAGCGAATCATTCCTTCAGAACAGCTAGCAGCATGCCCGCCCTACTCCGCGGCGGCGCGGCAGCAAATGTCTCGCAGCGGAAGCAGCAGCGGCGCGCCATCACAGCACCTTGCCCACTCATCGCCATCCACGGCGAGCATGGCTGATGGTACAGGCGCTCGGCAGGCCTGCGAGCAAGCACGCACTGCGCAAGCAAGCCCCTGGGGCGTGCACGAGCACGGCTCTCGGCTCTTGAGCACGCGCCACCCCGTCGCAACGCCTGCCCGCACAGGCGCTTTCAGCAGCAAGATGTCGCTTTCGTCCCACCTGAGCAGCCGGTCAGCCGTGGCCATGCCGCAGCTCCTTCGTCTTGCAACGGCCGGCAGGACTGTGTGCAG